CCTTTTTTTTTTTTTTTTTTTTGATTTCTTTGACTGATGGTCATGAGCATAATAATTTGATTGCCACCATGCCTCACCATCCTTATTTGCACAAAGCCAAGTGTCTTTCTTGGATTCAATGTCATGTTTTTCACTCTTTATTCATCTAACGCTGTTTGAATAATGTGGAGAAAGAATCTTGATAAAAATGGCTTAATAGAAAATTATAGTTTGCTTATTTACGTATAACAACACCAACAACAACGACCCAGTGAAATCCCACTAGCTTGCTTATTACGTATGTGCAGCGAATTTGATTTTTTTTAGATTTCATTCCTCCTTGGACTTCGTTTAAAATAAAAACAGTTGTCCATCTTTTATTTATTTAAAAAATAAACAGTTGTCAATCTTGTTCTTGTTAACATTTGTTTTCCCCCTCTTAATACTGGACACTGCAGGGGTGGAGGTGATGCTGTTCAGATTGTGCAGCGACATCATTTTGCATCTCACTTGAAAAGAATGGCTGTAGTTGTTCGTGTTCAGGAGCAATTTTTTGCTTTTGTCAAGGTTTGATGCCTAGGTCCTTATCTAGCTAGCTTTGTATGGTTGAATGAGGTCAAGCGTATAGCAGATAAGATTTAGAAGTACTTCTGGTATAGTCAAATTCGTAAAATGCTTGTTTCTTAGTATTCTTTTTTGATAACATTACACATTTGTTTATACTTTATACTGCTCATTACTTATTTCAGTCCATGAAAAGAGATGATTCCTCTAAAACCATTTTGGTGTATAACTGGCTGGCTTCTTCATTGGTAAATAAGGAGTGGATACTTTACTTTTTTTGATGAAGTAAAGTAGTTTCATTCAAAAAACGTAAGATGCAGCAAAAAATCACAAGAAGTAAAGATAAACATCTGCTCCTATATAACATATTACACTAGAACTAGAGAGCAGATGCAGTCCAAAAATTGTTCATAGCTAAAAACAGGGGCCTTACTAAGCCAGCTGAAAAGGCTCAACAAACACTTAGCTTTAAGAGCATGATTAGGAGTTGAGAAACCATCAAAACATCTTTGATTTCTTTAATTCCAAATGGACCAAAAAATACAAGCAGGCACCATAATCCAGACATTCTTGATGGACTTCCCAACTCTCCTAGAGCACCAGCTCTGATAGGCATCCTTCACACTGTAAGGCATGACCCAGGCAAGACCAAAGCTGGAGAGGAACATATTCCATATGTCTGCTGCAACTGCACAATGAACAAGAAGGTGGCTGACACTCTCTAATTTCATCTGGCACATGTAACACCTATTCACAGTCGGAATGCATCTCCTAGATAGATATGGGTTAAGCATGCTTCATAGAGGGCAGTCCAACAATAGCACTTCACCTTGGGAGGTAATGTAGTCTTCCGGATGAGTTTCCATGGCCATTTATCAATTAAGTCTTTGTTTGAGCATAGCTGGTAGTAGCCTTCCCTTACAGTATATACGCCTTCTTTTGAACTTCCCCAATATCAGTTTGTCCCTCTCTTGAGGATTGACCACCACCCCTGCCAATGTAGCAAGTAATTCCTGAAGCTCTTCTGCCTCCCAATCTTGTATATTCCTTCTGAGCTGAGGAAGCCATGTGTTATCCTGCCTACTGGCTGCTTATCTGTGAGCTTGTCTTTTTAAACTCTCAGGACATGTTTTTATCAAATGTCCCTCCTCTCTGTCTGCCCGTGCTTGTGTGCAGACTTAGCTGAATGTACGAGGGGCATCTCTCCGAGTTGATGTAGTAAATATGTGGTCTTCTTGAATACAACTTATTGCAGATATATGCCTGAAATAGTTATAGATATCTTTGCTTAGCCCTTATGATGGTTCATCATATGTTGTTCAAGGATTAAGAGGATGAAAAAGATGATTATGTGCGCTGTTTGGGGCTGGAAGACTCTGGCCAAATCTGATGAGTAGGAGAAACGGATAAGATAAACTATTGGAATTGTATTACTCAATCTGAAGAAAGTCTATTTCTTTTGGGAGGTTCTGTATTAACTGAAGCCCCATTGATGAGAAGCTAATTATGCTATTTATAGACTCTCAAACCTATGAACAGATACCGGAAAGTATCCTGCTCTCTGCTTGGTTAACTCTCTGGCAGTTTAGACCCAACCCCTACCACCATGATAGATGAATCTTCGAGTTCTCTTGTCGAGAGATTGTTGTTTTGGGATGGATTTTCTTAGTAACTGTTTTGTTTTTTGGTAAAGCAATTTCCTTTGAAACTTAGGCCTGCATTATTTGACGAAGGGAAGGGGAAATTGATCCAAAAGATTGAGAGAAGAACAATGATAGTTGCCCAACAGAAGACAAATAGTGGATTAAAACGATGAAAGCTTGCACTGGTTTGAGCTTATCAAACGAAAGAGGAACTTAGTCAGCAAAATCATGATAGAGACATATTCTTTGGTGAATTTGCATTATCCTTGGACTAGCATAGGAGGATCTGGCAAACTGTCGAAGATGAAAAAACATCATAATTAGAACTAGAGATCAAACATTTCTCAGAAATTCAGCATATGGGGGGGG